CTGGTTTATGTTAAATTGTTATTTCTCTTCTTTCTTCTTTTTGTGTCTCCATGTGTATCTGCCCTGAGTAAGGCTAATCCTACAACTTGGTTGGTTGTAGGGCACAGTCTTCAAGGTCATTAAGATGACCTTGAAGACTACAGTGGATGTAAGCCAAATTTCATAATCAGAATACTTTTTTAATCCCAGAGGAAATTATGTTTACATTTTAATGGATTGTTGAGCCCAATCTACACCTCTACAATGTTTTCTTTCTAAACTTTCTGAGCTTTCACCTTTACAGACAGACATTTATGGAAAATCCAAACCAAAATCGTAACTTCCATAGAAGAGGTAGAAAAAACAACAAAATAGTCCAGAACTTCTCAGAAAACTCAGAAAACTCAGAAAATGCTCTCTTCAAGGCTGAACAAATGAGCATATATTAGTTTTTTGCTTCTACAAATCAACACTTTTCCCGCTGTTGCCCCACATGTGGTAGTAATGCTAAGTATTGCTTGAAACTGCAAGTTATTGTGTATATTGTAACACTGATGCTGTGTTTCCCTCAGTGCCTTGGGACATTTTATGAGCCAGAGTGGCTGTTTGCTTATATAACACAGTGATAGTAGGCCTGGGGCTGTGTGGCGAGCGAGGATCCGTGGCACTTTTTTGCTAGTCCGTTAACCCTTGGTTACGTAGAGTGACACAGCTCCATAATATGTCAGTATAAACAACTCTGTCTCTCCCTATATAAACTTCAGCAATATCATTTTAAAAATTCAATTTACTGCCCAGTCATCCCATAATAGTTAGTCTTCATCCTATCTATCTTTTACTGATATTTATTTTTTATTGAAGTTTCATACTTTCAGGTCGTGATTCTCTGCTAGCGTCTGATTTCATTCCAGTGAATTCACAGAAAACAACATTCAGAGACTTCTTGTTAATATTTGTAGGCTTGCTTCTCCACTGCAGGAACACCGACCATGTGAACATCTGCAGATGCACATGAAAAGTGATTTTTGTTGTATGTGTTGTAACTGTATTGAGTCTATATGTCTGTTCTACCTGTGCTATAATTGTGTGTTCTCCATGTCTCTGTTTCCACTTGTTTCTCCATCTGTGCTTCTTTTCTTGAAGTATTCATATTTTTATCTGATGAAGATGAAGTATGAAAAGATGATGATGATGTTTCCCCGCCTCTAACACCCTCCTTCACTTTCTCCTCTGCATTCACTGCTTCTGCTTTTTGTTTCTGTGGTTTGTAACACCCCACCGTTCTCCTCCCACTTCCCTCAGGTTTTGGTCTGCTTTGGGTTGACTGGTCATTATGCTGATGCAGCTCTGTAGTTTCAAGGTCAGTGCCCCCTCCTTCCTGCAATCACTCTCCAGCTTCT